TGCTTGCCCACCAACACATGCATTCTCCTTTTAATTCTGAGAGGCTCCAGCTCAAACAAAAGTTACAAGGTTATGGGCTGCTCCAAGTTCTCAACAGAGATAATCCCTACTTGGTCTTCAGAAAAATAGAGGTCGATAATTCCTTTTTTTTAATTATTTTTATAGGTATCTTTTATTGATTTTGCTAGTATAGTTGTCCTAATTTTTCCCCTTTGTCCCCCTCCAGCTGGTACCCCCATTCCCTCCAGCAGTCCTCTCAGTTCATATCCATGGGTAATGCATATAAGCTCTTTGGCTTCTCCATTTCCTATGCTATTCTTAACCTCCCCCTCTCTGTTTTGTACCTACCAATTTGTACTTCTTAATCCCTACACCTTTTCCTCCTTCCCCCTCCTTCCTCCTCCTCCCTTCGTCCTCCCTTCGTCCTCCCTTCGTCCTCCCTTCGTCCTCCTTCCCCCTCCTTCCTCCTCCTCCCTTCGTCCTTCTTCCTCCTCCTTCTTCCTCCTCCTCCTTCGTCCTTCCTCCTCCTTCGTCCTCCTTCCCCCTCCCAACCAGATAACCTTCCAAATTATCTTCATATCTGTAATTCTTTTTCTTTCTACTTGTTTGCTTAGTCTGTTTTTTAGATTCAGTTGTTGATAGTTGTGCATTTGTTGCCATTTTAGTGTTTACTTTTGATCTTCTTGTTCTTAAATAAGACCCTTTAACATTTCATGTAGTAATGGCTTGGTGTTGATGATCTCCTTTCGTTTTTCTTTGTCTGGGAAGCACTTTATCTGCCCTTCAATTCTAAATGATAACTTTGCTGGATAGAGTATTCTAGGTTGTAGGTCCTTGCTTTTTATCACTTTGAAACTTCTTACCAGTTCCTTCCTGCCTGCAAAGCTTCATTTGAGAAATCAGCTGACAGTTTTATGGGAACTCTCATATAGGTAATTCTCTGCTTTTCTCTTGCTGCTTTTAAGGTTCTCTCTTTATCTTTAATCTATGGCATTTTAATTATCACATGTCTTGGCGTGGTCCTCTTTGGGTGTAATTTGTTTGAGACTGTGCTTCCTCGACTTCTATGTCTATTTTCTTCATCAAATTACGGAAGTTTTCTGTTATTAATCTTTCAAATAAGTTCTCAATTTCTTGTTCTTTCTTTTCTCCTGGCATCCCTATGATTCAGATGTTGGTACTTTTGGAGATGTCCTGGGGGCTGCTTCTTCTGTTCTCATTTTTTTAAATTCTTTTTTCTTCTTGCTGTTCTGATTGAATGCTTTTTTTTCTTCCTTATATTCTAAATAGTTGATTTGCATCTCAGCTTCATTCCCTCCACTGTTGGTTCCCTGTGGATTTTTCTTTATTTCACGTAATGCAACTTTCATTTCTGCCTGGGTCTTTTTTATGCTGTTGTAGTACCCAGTGATTTCCTTGATCATCCTTGTAACCAGTGTTTTGAACTCTGCATCTGCTAGGTCTATTTCATTTAGTTCTTTTCCTGGAATTTTGTTTTGTTCTTTCATTTGGGCTGTATTTCTTTGTCTCCTTAATTTTGCAGCCACCCTGTGTTTGTTTCTATGTATTAGGTAGAGCTGCTTTGACTCCCTCTCTTAGTAGTGTGGCCTGTTGTAGAAAAGGCACCTATCTGGATGAATGTGTCTTCTTTAAATCCTTGGTTGTAGGACTTCCATACAGCTCGATTTTCTGACATATCTGGATGATGTTTGTATTGTAGTTTAGATACAGTTTTTGCTGTAGCTGGGGGCAGAGGTGAAGCTTGTTTACCTACGCCTTCATCTTGGCCAAAGTATCTTAATCTGTACAGAGCCTAAGTGAGGTGTTCTGTAGCCTGAGGTCCATGGGCTCTCAAGCTATCTTGTAACTGAAGATTTTTCACTAATTTTGAACTGAAATTTAGCATTTCCCTGCCCGCAGCCAGCTGGGTGGTACAGGCGGTGGCCCCTCACACATGCTGTGCCACAGCACAGCTCTGTAATTCTTTTTTTGAATGTGCTTTCAAGTCGAGTATCTTTGACCATCAGCTCCTCTTTGACATAATTTAGTGCCCACTCATGATCCATTAGCTCCAAAACTTCCCACTTTTTCTTGAAAGCTTTGCTGCCTGCAGGTATGGCCATGGCTGTTCCAGTCATGGCTTATGCATCATTTCTTATTGGTCACTGGCATTATCTTGGCCCAGAATCAGAGAGAGTAAGTGCTCTGGTGTCCAAATACATAGCAGAAGTACCAGGATGCAGTTAATGTGGGGTTTGATTCCTTGCTGTAGCATAGGCTTAAAATAGGATTAGTGGAAATATGACTTTGCTTGTGACACAGGCTGAGAATGTCATGTTGATCCATTCACCAATAAAAATCATGGGGAGGACATTTGTTACTTCTCTTTCATTATGTCAGGTTGAGTATAGGGGGATCATTCAGGAGAAGGTGGTACTGTTACCCCTTTATTTATTTATTTATTTTTGAATCTGTCCTCTGGGTTGTTAAAGTAATATTTTCACATCATGAGGGATTGGTTGGGAATATAATTTCCATTTTACCTGATGACTGTGCTTCAAATTAGGATTTATATGTCAGATACCTGCTTCTAGGTGACCTTGTTGCTCTACAGCAGGATGAACACATAGTGGTGGGTCATTCCCACAAAGGTGATGGTAAAGATGGCCAGGAGCCCCCCGAGCCTGATGTTGGAGTAGAGCAGTGGCTCCCACCCCCGTCTGCACTTAGAGCCAGCTAGGCCAGGGCCCCAAGTCTTTTCCTCCCCCTTCATCCTCTCGGGGTTTCCTTAAGGCCTTCTCCTGCCCCAGCCTGGGCATTATCTAGTCCCAGGACACACCTAGGCCTAGTGCACTGCCCTCAGCTGGGCTGCCATTTCATTTTAAACAAGAGTGAAGTTTACAGAATTCTAAAACAGAAATCAAAGATTTCTTGAAATCTTTTTTGCCTATTCTGAACCATCTGTGTTAAGATCACATTTTGGAGCTAGCAAATGTTGAGGTTTTCCACTACTCTGACCCCCCCCCCCACCTCAGTGAAAAAAAAGTAGATTATAAAACATATGTACTGTGTGAATTCACTTCTGTAAAAACACATCTTTTCTCTCTCTTTATTAATCACTGCCTGGTGTGTAAAATAGTAAGTACCAATAAAATTTACGGAATAATGTTTGAAGTGATTGAATGGATAATAGGAAAACAATGGATTTTACACACTAAAATGTTTTACTTATTTCTAGTTGTAGTGTTTATTTGTCTATAAGTGGTAAGAGATTGATGAAAATAAAATATTGTCATAGAAAGAGCTATGTAAGAAGTCCTAAACTTAATCATTCCCTGAAATATTTCAAGCTACTGAGAAGTTTTATTCTCCTTTTACTCTGAAAAGCAACATAATAGTTGGATATATCAGAAAGAAAAAAATAATATCTTTTATAGTTTAGGTATGTAGAGCAAATTGGGACACAATTCCAGAACTAATGAGAAGTTTAGGTGTAATGGCAGGTGAGTGGTGGCTCTCTTACTCTTGATTCAGAACAGCACGCTTACATACTAGGATGGGAGACCCACCCCCTGGCTGGAGACCTTTTACGAGACAAAGGATAAGTAATTCTTATCCTCAGGAGCTCACAAGCCAGTGACTATGACTGGGAGGTTGAACATACGTATGCTTCGGTTGAATTCATTTTTAAGACAAGGATGGTCGTATTCATTCTGTTTAAAAGGGTGTTATAAAAAGGAACTACTTCAGATCATTACTTGATAGTTCAAAACTATAAATTTAGACATGTCAAATAATGTAAATTCTGTATTTGATAGTCATAACTAAATGATTATTGAGTGTTTACTTTAGGTCAGAGACTGTGCCAGATGTAACTTCTAAAAAAGTACTTGTTTTTTTTGAGTTGGAAATAGTTTACTTGGTAAAACAATTAAAAAAAATGTAGTTTAAAGTCTTCTCCCAGCCTCTATCCCAGCTACCATGTTCTCATCAGTGTTTCCAGGGAGATTTTAGGCATATGCACACGTATATGTATCTGCTTTTTAAAATCGCAGATGATGGCTTATTTTACACTATCCTGATAGGACAGATACAAATTGCACCTCTCTCTTCTTGAATTTAACATATTTCATATCCTTATCTCACTTTATACAATAGTAGTTAAGATAGGTATTCATTATCTCCATCTTACAAATAAGGAAACAAAGATATTTTTGTATTTTTTAATTTGTCCAGGGTGATAATACCACTTGTAAGTTATAGATAGAATCTACTTCCTAGGTATAGAGGTAGTTGTTTTGGTACTACTTATTTCTTTATTTAACTTTTAGAAACCATTTCAGACTACAGAAAAGTTTCAAGAGTAGAGTAAAGGATTTCATGTATCTTTTGCCCAGAATCTCCATTCAGGTTTCTGTAGCTATCTCAGTAAGGTTGGCAAAAGAAATTGACTCAAGAGCACACATTCCCAGTTTTTCTGTCTTAGCTTTTTCAGTCTGGAATGGTTCTTTAGTCTTTGCTTAGCTTTCATGACTTTGTTGATTTTGGAGATTGCAGATCAGTCATTTTCTAGACTCTCTTTCAATTTGCAATTGTTCTAGGGTTTTCCTCGCAATTAAACTCACATAGTGCATTTTTTGGCCAAAATATCACAGAGGTTATGTTGTGTTCTTCCGATTACATCCTATCAGGTGACATGCAGTGTCTGATGGTTCCATTACTCCCACATTAAAGGGAGAGAAGAGCCCTAGCTGGTGTAGCTCAGTGGATTGAGCATGGGCCTGGGAACCAAACACCCAGGGTTGGATTCCCAGCAGGGGACACACAAGAGGCAACCATACATTGATAGTTCCCTCTCTCCTTCATTTCCCCTCTAAAGATAAATAAATAAAATCTTTAAAAAAGGGTGGGGGAGAGGAAAGGGATGGGGAGAGGAAAGTAACCTTTATTGGTTTACTTTTCAAAGAGCCCTCTGTTCAGTAAGTATCTTTTCCTTGTAGCATCCTGGCGGAGAAGAGGTTCTGCTGGAACAAGCTGGTGCAGATGCAAGTGAAAGCTTTGAAGATGTAGGCCACTCCTCTGATGCCAGAGAAATGCTAAAGCAGTACTACATTGGTGATGTGCATCCGGTAAGAACCAGCTAAGCTAGGAGTGCTTGTGGACATGAAAGCTTCTGAACAGCCACAGAGCAATGGAAATTCATTCAGCCCAGCTGTCAGGCTAAATTTTCTACAGAATTTTCTAGCATTACTGTGCTAATAAGATACTGCTTCTTGTTTATAAAGCATCACGTGCAATATCTTTGAAAAGCCAAGGAAACTGATTTTGGATTTTTTGTTTGATTGATTGAATTTTGTAATGCACTTCATAACATCTCTACTTAATTCCTTTCTAAAGGTGGTAACTATGGACTTTTTAAACCATATCTAACAAGAGGCTTTGATATGCTCAGAGTTGGGTGTGGGGTAGGGGGAGGGCAATACCCTTCTGCAGACCCTGCCTTCTCTCAGGAATTCACTTCTGTCAGAATGCAGTCTCATCTTCCAAGGTTAGAAACAAACGCATAGTGAGCATGCATTTGGATATGTCTTAAAATATTATTTGTTTTCCTCTTTTAACAGAATGACCTTAAACCTGAAAGTGGTAGCAAGGTAAGAAGCCCTCTGTTTCTCTCGTGTGTTTCAAGGGTTTATATTTCTATTTACTCGAATAGAATTGCTGTTTTATAAACTATCTTAACAAGAAAAGTGTTTGCTTTTCCCCCAAGCAAAAATCCTGTTTTTCAGGAATTTGGACTCAGTACCATCTCAGGAAAAAAGAATAGCTGAGTGTTGAACAGTAGGACACATTTGTTCATGTTTCTATTTATATTTCTTTTCAAATTGAAACTCTAAAGCCATGCCCTGTATGTTTTTGAAAGAAATTAGTTTATGGGTTCAGTTGTAGAAAAGTGTTTATTATTCTTACATGAAATAGTACAGATGATAATAATTGCTTTTGTATTGGAAAAAAATTGGAAAGTTGATTTTTTTCTCTTAGAAGTCTTAGAAGGAGTTGTAGACTGAAGTAATTGAATAGAACAGGCCTTTCTGTCCCTATTTCCCAAATTTAATCCTTTTATTGTGTAGTCTCAAATGGGCCTACTCCCTTCCCATTTACTTAGTGATACAGCACAAACAGAAGAATATTTGAAAATCTTAATGTGCACTGCATAATGTACCAGGAAGAAAATACGGAAGACTTTTTTGCTTCCCACAAGCTGGGTGGTTCATCTCCCTTAATCCCTCACAATTTTCCTTGACTTCTGTCCATCAGATAGCTATTATACTACTCCCTGATTTAAAGGAACAGCAGTGTAGTTGCTTCCTAGAACATCACGGAAGTGATGATGCTCCTTCCCCTTTTCCTCCTTTCTAGTTTCTTGCTTCCTTTCCTCACTGAGCTGGAATTACTGAACACATTCTAACACAACTATTAAAGTTGGCCTAGATGCAAGAATTCTTTTAACTCCGGATTGCTTGACAGTGTCTACTGTCTGTTGCCATGCAATCCGGAGTGTGTAAATTAACTCGTCTATTTTGTTACACTCTGCTACTCAGAACAGTTGAATTGTTTGTGAAGGGGCATGAAATGTTTTTTTTAATGCTGTGAGCACTGTTGGTTTCTTTGTCCTCCCCTCCTAACACGTTACTACCCATTCTTAAATCCTCACTTGTGTAATTAAGAGAAAACTTGAAGCAAGGTGGTCTTGTTTAATTGAAGTATTCAGGAAACGTGGCTCTCAACAGGTCAACATTTGGTTCAAAGGATAGTCCCATTTGTACAAGAGATGCACCTTGTATCTGGGGCCACAGTCCACTTCTGACAGCAACCATGAGAGCACTCTTCATATTAAAACAATAGAAAAAATATTTTTCAAATTATAATGTGAAGAAGTCTAAAATTGCTCTTTGTCACTCCTTTCTTCCTTGGTAGTACAGTATGTAGTTAAGACCATTCTGGGAGTGGGAGAGTGGTGGTTTTCAAATTATGCTCCTTGTGCCACGTGTATTTGAGTTCCTTGGCGTGTTTTCTGAAATGTATGTTTCCTGTACTTCCATTACTACTGATTCATAATCTCTGGAAGTAGGATATGGAATTTGCATTTAAAATCACCTGGCTAGCCAAGTACCAACCAGACTTTTTGCTAAATGATATATAGGTCTTTCATTTGAAACTTAGGAAACTTTAATTCTCTTTGGTGAAAAGCACTCTCTGCTTTCTATAGGCCAAAGAATTAATTAGAAATGTCTTAAATTAAAACTTGGACTTGTAATAAATACAGAATAAGAAACCTTTTCAGCTCGCCACATTCTATAATAATTTAGACGTCTCCGAATATAGTTTGGCTCCTGCCTGAGTTAAGCAGTGATTAACAACAGGGTTTTTAAGTATCTGTTTTCCTCATGAATGTTGTACCCAAAGGAGAGGCTTCGTGCAGTAGAGAGTCTGGTAGCTGAGTGTTTCCCGTCACACTGCTCTACTTCAGACAGATCAGGCAAGCGAAGCCTTTTGGAAAATTTTCAAGACCACCTACATAGCTTGTCACAAAGCTGTAGTTGAACCTGATTTCAGGGCCAGGAAGAAATTCTTGGCCCCTCAGGTTTATTTCTTACAGAAATTTTTAAATAGGCACTTCTGTGTCTAGGATGTAGAGTTCTCTTTTTAAAATTTTTCTGTCCTGGTTTAAATATTCACCATGAAGAAATGGATGTAATATTAATTTTATTAATACTTTCTTTTGGTTAAGGGTTTCTGAATCTCTGTGAATAAGCAGTTTTTAAAAAGCCTGCATTATATTACAGTTATTTTCCTTCTCCTCCCCTTCTTTTATTTCTCCTCTTCTCTCCTCCCTCCCAGCTCCTTGTCTCTTCCCAACCTGACACTCCCCTCCGACAACAAACACCCAAACATGGCTACTTCAGAGTATAAATCAGGAACCTTTCCAAAGTTTTTTAAACTACTTTTCATAATTGCTTTTGCTATGATACAGGTAAATAATTAATGGTCACCATTGTTTTCTTGAGACTGATAATGTCAGAGGTTCAAGGCCCTGAAATATTACAATACTAAAACTGGAAAGCTTAGAAAATACCTGGCAATAGATGTTTTTCTTACCTGCTTCAGTCAAAGATAACTAACTAGTTAAAAAAACCTTTTTGTCTCTGAGACTGTCTTCCTTGCTGGAGCCATCAACCTTCTATTCATATTTGACTTAACATTTTCCTGATCTGCTTTTGGTTTTGGAAACACCTTGGAAACAGACTTAGTGTTTCCTGTGCCAGTCTGCCTACTTGCATGCCTACTCTACTGCAAGTAACCTAGACATCTGTATGGTCCATGAAGTCTCTCGTTCAAGTATGCATTTACTTCCTGATAAACTGTTTTATCACTACCATCAGTTTAGGAGATAAGGGACATACAAATGCTATCCTGACCAAAAAAGTGGGCCCATTTCATTCATTCATTCAACAGATACTGTCTAGGTGACAGTTCAGCAACTTCACTAGTCAAATCTCATTATAATGAATAAGACCCAATAAATTGACTGTTTTTTATTTATGTTTCTTGGATGGGTAGTATATGGTGTACATGGTTTTAAAAATAGCTAACACAAAGTGTACTATAAAAATGACTCCCTCCAATCTCCAACTCTCATTCTGCTAGTTTGCCTTACCCAGAGGTAGCCAGCTACCATTTTCTTGTTTACTTTTCTAAAGAGATCCTGTTCATGCATGAATATAAATGGGTAGGCAGGTCGATAGATGGAGAGATGGGTAGATAGATTGTTCAATTGATAGATAGGCAGAGCAGCTGTCCCTTTCTTTAAAAAAAAATCTTATACTCTAGCCCTGGCTGGTGTAGCTCAGTGGATTGAGCGCGGGCCTGCGAACCACACGATTGAGGTTCAATTCCTAGTCAGGGCACATGCCTGGGTTGCAGGCCAGTTCCCAGCAGGGGACGCACGAAAGGCAACCATACATTGATGTTTCTCTCCTTCTCTCCTTCCCCCCTTCCCCTCTAAAGATAAATAAATAAAAAATCTTTAAAAAAAAATCTTATACTCTTCTGCACCTTGCTTCTTTTTACTTAAAAATTTGATAGTAGTGATTGTTCCTTATCGGTTCATAAAGACCTTCCTCATTCTTTTTAATAGCTATTTAGTATTTGATAGACAAAAGTTTTAACGAGATGACATTTGTTGTAACAGGATTTAATGTTAAAAAGCAGGTAAGATTTCTCCATAAAGACTTAAACATTTTTTAAATTCATTTTTAACTTAAATTTAACTTTTGAAATCTATGAAATTTTTAATATTAGAAGTAATCCAAACATTGCATTTAAAGGCAGGTACATTTTTTTTCACTCAGATGCTACTTACTTTTGTTATAATACAGTTTTCTATTATACATACATAATGTATTAGCCACACATAACATTCAGTTTACCTTTTCTTATGGGAGAGAAACTAAAAAAGAATACATTATTTATGTAGTGTAGTTAGTTGGTCCCGGATACTAAACATTTCCTTTTAAGAATTCTTTAATAGTCCTATCATACTTAAAACCTAGTTTATTAAAGTTTGGAATGGGGAGGTAAATGCCCTTTAGATGAGTAGTGATTGCCATTTACCAAAGAATTCTGTCAGTTACTTTGATCCCTCTTTTTGTCTAACATTTGTATTTTGTAACGTAATCTTTTGAAATAAAGCATAGAATGTATAATGGCAAAATCACTCTTGAAAGAAAGACAAAATGTTCTTTTTGCTAAGGGATCTCAGGGACTAATGTCTTCTTGTAATGTTCCATTTAGAAATGACATATAGTTTGGCAAAACAAGATTGTCAGAGGACAAGGTAACATCCATTTTTAAATCAGTCCTCAATGTTGTAGTAAGTTTTTCATTTCTTAGGTCCCAGTAGGAAACATCCTATGAGTGTTTTAATTTTTTTCTTCAGTGACGTCTTATATATTGTATCCCAGTGGGTTCTTGAGAGAGTTGTGTTTAAATTTATTTGAGAAGATGCTTTGCATCCTTGAATTTTGCGCTTATCTACAGGGAGACATGTTTGCCATGGCTGGGCTGACTCTAGGGATACATGCTTTGCAAGCCAGTAACTGTTAAGCAGTATTCTCAGCCAGAAAGACATTTTAGTACATTGGAGCCTTCATGAGAAGGCTGTCTGTCCTCAAGATCTAGACTGCATGGCTGTGTCATCATTGGGACTGTAAAGTGTTGAAATCATTTCTTTCAGTACTTAAACTTTTTAGGTCATAAGATGAACCTACTATTAAAATTCATGTAGTGATAGCTCATGCTAAAGTTTCTCTTCATTATGGGGAAAAAATCCTCTCCAGTAGTATTTGAAGCCAAAAGTACCCAAGTTGTTTTTCATAAGTACTGGCCACATAGATACCAACTTGTTCTAAATAAAAACCTATAAAAACTACCAGACCACCCAAATACTCATTAAATTTGCTGAAGGTGTCCTGTGGCTTAAAATGCACTTCTAATTTTAAATACATAAAATCCTCTTGGACTAGCGAACACTCAATTGAATTAAAATGTAAGTTCCTTATAATAATTTCTATTTTACTTAAACACTTGGAAGTCTAAATGTAAACTATTTAGGCTGAATGTACCTTTATAATGTCTCTTTTGTACATTTTAATGAATTGTAATCATAATTCTGGCACATTGTTTCCCATGTTTATGTCCTGGTGACAGTGTACACTGGTTTTTTGTTTTTTTTCTTCTTTCTTTAAAACATATTTTATTGACTCCTGGCTGGTATAGCTCAGTGGATTGAGTGTGGGCCTGCAAACCAAACAACTGTAGTTCGGTTCCCAGTCAGGGTACATGCCTGGGTTGCAGGTCAGTTCCCAGTAAGGGGCACGTGAGAGGCAACCATATATTGATATTTCTCTCCCTCTCTCCTTCCTTTCCCCTCTAAAGATAAATAAATAGAAATCTTTAAAATATATATATATATATTATATTGATTATGTATTACAGTTGTCCCATTTTCCCTCCTTCACTCCCTTCCACCTTGCATAGCCCCTCCCACCCACATTTCCCCCCTTTAGTTCATATCTATGGGTTATACATATAAGTTCTTTGGCTTCTACATTTCCTATACTATTCTTACCCTCCCCACCGTCTATGGTACTTATTCTCTGTACCTTCTCCCTGCCTCTCCTCCTCCCACTCCCCTGTTGCTAACCTTCCATGTGATCTTCATTTCTAAGGTTCTGCTCCTGATCTAGCTGTCCTCTTAGTTTGCTTTTGTTTTAGGTGTGGTGGTTAATAACTGTGAGTTTGCCGTCCTTTCACTGTTCATCTTTTTTATCTTCTTTTTCTTAGATAAGTCCCTTTAACATTTCATATGGTAAGGACTTGGTGATGATGAACTCCTTGAACTTGATCTTATCTGAGAAGCATTTTATCTGCCCTTCCATTCTAAATGAAAGCTTTGCTGGATAGAGCAATCTTGGTTGTAGGTCTTTGGTTTTCATGACTTGGAATACTTCTTTCCAGCCCCTTCTTGCCTGTAAGGTCTCTTTTGAGAAATGAGCTGACAGTCTGATGGGAACTCCTTTGTAGGTGATTGTCCCCTTATTTCTTGCTGCTTCTGGGATTCTCTCCTTCATTTTAATCTTGGCTAATGTAATGATGGTGTGCCTTGGTGTGTTCCTTCTTGGGTCCAACTTCTTTGGGACTCTGAGCTTTCTGGATTTCCTCGAAGTCTATTGCCTTTACCAGCTTGGGGAAATTTTCCTTTATTATTTGTTCAAATAAGGGGGTTGTCCCTCTTCCCCTTCTGGTACCCCTATAATTCGGATGTTGGAACGTTTAAAGATGTCTTGGAGGTTCCTAAGCCTCTCCTCATTTTTTCGAATTCTTGTTTTTTCATATTTTTCTGTTTGGTCATTTTTTGCCTCCTCCTCCACTCCCTTGATTTGAGTCCCAGTTTCCTTTCCATCACTATTGGTTTTCTGTGCATTTCTATTCATTTCAATTAGTTTAGCCTTAATTTGTTCATCTAATTTATGACTAACATCAACCAGTTCTGTGAGCATCCTGATCACGTGTTTTGAACTGTGCATCTAAAAGTTTGGCTATTTCTTGGTCGCTTAGAGTTATTGGCTCTAGGGCTTTGAGTTCTTCTTGAGCCATGTTTTTGTCTGCTCGAACCTGTTATGAATGGGGGCAGAGCCTTAGGTGTTCGCCAGGGCAGGGCAACCCAGGTTGCTGGTTTGTGATGCTGTATGTGGAGGCGGGATTAGAGAGGGGCGATGGTGTTTGTTCTGTTCTCTCTCAGATTTCTGTCCCCTCTGCCGCTTCCCACAAGCAAATTGGGCCCTTCTGGTGCTGGTTTCCAGGGGGGTGGGCTTGTGTATGTTCTAGGACCCTGTGGGTCTCTCCAACAAACTCCTATGAGGCTGGGAGTTTCTCCCGGCACCTTAGTCCCCACAAGTGTTTTCAGTCGGTGCTTTTAGGCTTTATTTCCTGGCACTGGGGCCCTGGGTTGAGTGGTCTGTCTCACTGAACGTTTTTGCCTGGCTTATCTGTACGTGAATGTGTCACTGCAGTCGGCCAGCAGCCTTGTGGGTCTCACTGGGTTTGCTCGTTTCCTCCCTGAGCCAGAGGTCTGCTAGCCCTGAGCCGCCTGGGCCCCCACGTCTGCCAACCACCACTTTTTCCTGCTGCAACCCCTCTCTGCCCTTCTTACTGGTCTGGATGAATGGCTGTCGGCCTTCTGTACAATTCAATTTTCTGTCTTCTCTGGTTGTTTTTGTTTTTTTTAAATGGGATGAGAAAGGTCTTTCTCTTCTCTTTCTTCCAATGTTAGGGAAGTTGGTCTTTTTGACTCTAGGGGGTGGATTGATCTTAAAACAAGCATTGAAGTATTTAGCTAAAATTCATGTATGTTTTAATTTTTTATTGCTTATTAGCAACTATTGCAGTTTCAGCATTTTATGGTTTGGTTCTCTCTGATCTCTCTCTTCCTCTCTGTCTTTCTCCCACTTTGTTCATTACATTTTCTAAGGCTCATTCTAGTTAGCGTACGTCCAGGGCTTTTGGTATAAAAAAGACTAAAAGCTTTGAAATCTAGAGAATCCATTTATATGAACTGTATGTGTAGCTTTTATTTTTATTTATTTATTTTTAGAGAGGAGAAAGGTAAGGAAATATCAATGTGTGGTTGCCTCTCACACCCCCCCTCCTGGGGACCTGGCCTGCAACCCAGGCATGTGCCCTAGCTGGGCATCGAACCAGTGACCTTCAGTCAGCAGGCCAGCACTCAATCCACTGAGCCACACCGGCTAGGGCTGTATATATGGCTTTTAATGTGATGCAGATTAAACATCATAATACATATTTTATTCCATAGTGCTGTCAGGAAAACCTTTCAAATCATCCCATTTAAAAATACTAACTTTACATTTTTGTTTTGTAAATCATTGTATATATGTGGGAAAAGCATAAAAGGCCGTGGACATTCTCTTGATGAAATGCAATTATTTCTTAGCTACTATAGTGGAATATTTAAAAAGGCAACATTATAAACTGATGCACACCCATCACCACTAACCACCATCTTTCAGATCTATAAACATTTGTTTTATTTCTCAAATATTGACCTGTGCATGTTTTAATTAGCCCAGGATGTGCTGTTCTAGGGGATATATCTCAGATGACAGTAATTATCAAGATCTCAGTGAGGTGTAATATGTAATATGGCTTATCTAACAATTTTTATTAGAAGTTTTACTTGCCTATAGGCTAATTTCTTTCAGGTTTTAGGGCATGCATTCATTTGCATGATAGTATTTTGGATATATGAAATTTAAAACTCATTTCATGATCTGCTCTCAAGTATCTAGGCCACTATGTAGGGTTTTTAAAAATTCTAGGATATTACTGAAGATGGTGGTCAACAGAGTTAATATTCTGTGTTCACACCCTGGAGCGTTTCTACATATTGGCAGAGATGGTATTTTGGGTAGCAGTAACCTGTATTTAGTGGGTTGTTGCCCTCTGGCAGTAAGTTAGCAGGCATTTGGTACTATACATTTAATTAATGGAATCAGTAACTTCATTTGATATTTACTTTAATTGAATTTTAAATATTTAGTAATGGTTTTTTAAGATATAATTCAGAGCCTATCCAATTCACCTTTTTAGGCCAAAATTTTATTTTTAAGGCTCTGTTGGCATTTTCCTTCTCTTAATTACATTCTCTCCCTTTCCATTGTGAAGTGAACTTTAAGTTCTCTATCATACTTACAATGATTTCAGAGAATAAGCCAAGTCATTTCAGTTAATGTGTATCTTGCAAGTCGACATTATTTTTTAAAAATATTTTCAGAAAATGTGATCTTAGCTACTGCCAGTGGTAAGCCCTACTGAACCAGGCGTATCATTGTAACTACAGACTGGTCCATTTCAATATAGTTTGTATCAGCAGCATTTTTTTAAACATCTTAAACATGTTTGAGTCATTTCTTTGTGCTTTCATTAATGGTTCTTCGCTAGGGAATACCAGTATATTATCAGAAATAGAATTCCCCGTGCCCCCATCGCATCCAGGTGTGTATACCTCAAATTGCATGAAAGATGAAGTTCTGTCAGTTACAAAGTCTGTATAGATATTCAAGAACATTTATGTGCTCTGTGTTAATCTTTATTCTTTTTGTCATTTTTAAATATGCATCTTCTCCAGGACCCTTCAAAAAATAGCACCTGCAAAAGGTTAGTATCCCCTTCAGTCACTTCATTATGCTCAACATAACATCTGACAAGAGATTCTCCCATAAATCCACACATATGACATAGCTTAAGAGTACAGTTTGACAGCCAATTTTGTTTTGGCCAAAATTACTGCAAATTCAGAAGTTCCTTAGCATTGGCAAAATCAATTTTTACAGTTTTAATCTCAAAGATTCATGCCTTGAGTAGTTTTCAAATCAAATTGGAACCACACTCAGTAAGAGGCTGGTATGCATGGACAGTCAAGTAACTGCTAGTGAGTCAAGCCCAGCCTCTGCAGCTCAGCTCAGCTATGTAACTAACTGCCACTTAAAACTTAATGTTGTTTAATCCTCACAATGATTCTATAAGGTAGGTACTATTACTACATTTATAGAAGAAAATATTATGTATTAACAGTCATTCAGGAATGTGGGTTTTCTCTTAAGGGTTACTTACAAAACACCTCTTGCAGTAGTATCAGTACTACAGCTCTGAAAGGGTTAAATGTACCATTCCTGTAGTGCTTCTACTTGAGAGGACTGTAGAATCCTTGGCTTGTTGCAAAACCTGTATAGAGATTATGTAGAGCTGCCTGTTTCGTCTTTCTGAGGTCCTATTTAAAGCATTTCAGAGAGAGAAAAAAAAATGTGTCTTTTCTCCTCATTAAAGTGTCATGTCTTTATTTGAGGTGAAGGACAGAGGGTTACAAAAGTACAAACTTGAAAGAAACAGTAAGTTTAGCTTTCTTAATATTAAGAATTTATTCTTAGCCCTGGCTGGTGTAGCTCACTGGATTGACCACAGGCCTGTGAACCAGAGGATCGCGGTTCGATTCCCAGTCAGGGCACATGCCTGGGTGGCAGGCAGGTTCCCTGCAGGTCAGTTCCCTGCAGGGGATGCACTAGAGGCAACCATACATTGATATTTCTCTCCCTCTCTCCTTCCCTTCCCCTCTAAAGATAAATAAATAACTCTTTAAAAAGAATTTATTCTTAATATTTGAAATATAAGAATTTGAAAGAATTCTTGTATTTCAAATATAAGAATTTGAAAATATAAGCCTTAAACTTGCAAGACTTTTGCTGCAGATTAAACTGAGTAAGAATTATTATGCAGATACATAAAGAATTTATGCAAATGTATTAAAAAATAACAGTGTAGAATATGAGAAAATGACTTAAGCACCTTATATATAGAAGAGGAAACATAAATATAAGCATATTTTTTAAAGGTTTAGTTTCACTAGTTATCAGAGAGGTGAAGATTAAAATCTTTGGGTGTATTTCACACTAACCAGATTGGCAAAAAAAAATTTTTTTTTAAAGATTTTACTTATTTATCTTTTAGAGAGGAAGGGAAGGAGAGAGGGAGAGAAACATCAATGTATGGTTGCCTCTTGTGAGTCCCCTGCTGGGAACCGGCCTGCAACCCAGGCATGTGCCCTGACTGGGAATCGAACCGCGATCGTGTGGCTCGCAGGCCCGCACTCAATTCACTGAGCCACACCAGCCAGGGCAGATCGGCAAAATTTTTTAATTTTAGGAATCAGAGGAGTTGTTTAGGAAGTAGATCACCAAGATTCTTAGGCCCTCTTAGGGGAATGTAAATGGATACTATCACTTGGGAAAACTGTTTAGCATTATCCATTAAATAAGACAATATGAATAACTTTTGACCCAGCAATTCCATTTCTAGGGGTGTTCTCAAGAGAAATGTGTGCACAAGTACACCAGGAAACACGTACAGCAGCGCTCATAGCAGTGTTATTCAAGATCTTAAAATATGGGAAATAACCCAAATAACCACTCATTAATAAAATGAATGAATTCATTCTTGTATATTTGTACAGTGGAATGCTACAAATCAAAAAAAATAACTGAATCACAACTACCTACAATAACCTGAATGAATCTCCAAGAAGAGAGTTCCGTCTTATGGCCCGGAAGTTCTTGTTGCACCTGAATCCCCCCTGGTGCAGTGTAAATGCATTTCCTCTGGTTCTAGTCTCAGTGGCAGTTAAATATTGTATTACCAAGGATTATAGGAGAATTGTGGTCAGGCATTCTTGGTCTTTTGTACTGAAGAATTTCTCTTCATTGTTTTCTCAAGGCTCCTGCTTTTGAGCTCTTTTGTGTCTTGTGGTTACTCTCCAAGATATCTGAATTCATGACTTTTATGGGGAGTTTACTTCATAGTTCCCACGTATCATATTGCCATTGTACATGCCAATATGCTTCAAAAATAAAAAAAGCTACCCGGCTGATACTCTAAACTTGTCCAGAGCAGCTTTTGCCATAAATGTGCAAAGTGCTAGGCATGTTTAGGCAAAGAAAATAATGTTGATTATTGAATCTGGTTTTCTTGGCTTCAAAACCTTTTAATACCAAAACTGCATACATCTTAAGTAGAGTGGCAGCCAGGTCATTTGGATCATGGAATTACTCCTTCAAACTAGCAGCGCTAATAAGCTCTATCAGAGAAGTAGAATTACTGTAAGGAGAATGATGACTGTTCTGAAACGTGTAAGGAAAATTTTTTACAGGACTTTTTAAGCCAACTGCCATTTATCTCACTTTATCGAAGCTGTCAACATCGTTCTGTGTGTGTGCACGTGTGTGTGTCTACTAATATTAGTGCCCAAATTAACTAGAGATGAAGTGGATGGATTTGGAATCCACTGCTTGACTAATTTTGCTTTGTGGTTTTTGGTGCTAGCTAAGCTTGTATTTCCTGTGTTAAAAATGAGAATAATAATAGAACCTATTTCATAGAGTTGTTGTGAGGATTAAATTAAAAAATACTTTTGAGACAGTTATTGGTGATAGTTATATTAGAAGTTAATACTTCAAATAAATAAATAAATAAAATGGTGGCTTTTTTCTGTTTAAAAATGTTAATTATAGAATATGGGGAGAAGCACAAAGAAAAATCTAAACTACCCATAATCCCATAACCCAGAAAGAACCACTGTATAACTTTGCGAAAACACATTTGAAGGTGTGTATATGTATCTTTTTTTGGTAGCATACTATACATTGTTTTTAATCTTTTTAAAATCATCGTTTATCATTGTCATTCCAATCTAAATATTTGTTCTTTTCTAACTAGTGTGTGATAGAAGCAGTTAAAATTCCCAAAGTAAATGAAAACTCTTTGCTCACAAAAATCTGAAAATGTGTATGTTGGAAGATAGAGAACGTGTGGTATAAGATGTTCATGACTTTATTGCTTTTTTCCCCACTTTTAGTTGCTGGGCATACTGGATTTTCCCCATCATAGGCGCTATTCTCCTAGGTTTCCTGTACCGTTACTACTACACGCCGGAGAGCAAATCCTCCTGAGGAGGCCTTGTTGACGTCTGGAAAGCGTACCCACTTGGGATTGAAAACTAGAGACTTGATTGGAGGCTGCAGTGATGCCCTGTTCCCAGATCCTGCCAGTTGTATTCTTCCCCCTTGGAGCCCAGACGGTTAGCCACACATCCACCTCAGGCCTGGGAACAGTGTCCTCCTTTCTCAGAGCCTTATTTCCAAAGCACCTGCTCCCTGTTCTGTGTCCTTACCAATTCACTGGTTTCCACGAGCACCTTTATATTACAAAGTTTTCTGTTAATAGCTGCAATCCTAGTGACGTTGCCCTTTGGTAAAAATGCACATGAGGTGCATTTTTTACCAACAGCAGCAGCACACTCTGGTTTCGAAGATTTTCTTTTTCCACTTTTCTTTTAAGTAGATATTATTATTATTTTAAAATTCTGACTTAATTTTATCTGCCATAAGGGGTTTAATTCATGGAGTAAGTTGTACACTTGCAACTTAAAACACAACTGCCAAATGATCTTGTTCCTCGTTTATAGTTGTTAAAACTAGAAAGAGCCATGTGATCGTCTCCCCCCTCCCCAGCTAGTGCAGCGGGTGGCTCTTGCCACCCCTTAGTCCACTGTGTGGTGCTGGACAGAACTGTGCTTTCCTTTCATTTCTCAGAACAGAGACACACAGGGAAGGGGAGCCGTGAACAGAGGGATAGGGAGAGTTCATAGCCGTCTTTCTTTGGAAAAATATTGAGAAACACTGCTAGTGCAGGAGCCTGGAAAAAGCACCAAAGACTTCGTCCTTTACTTTGGTTTGGCACCAGTTCCTAGCCATCTTTTTTTCTTAGTTTTCCTTTCTCTCAACCATCTTTCTCAGTAAAATATAAACTTGTAATTATGTCTGTAGAGCTTAACCAGGGATTTTTGCTGCTTTTTTTGCTTATTGGTTAGCAATTTTTTATTCCCTGTTTTCATGAGAGTAAGACTCCAAAATGATCAGAGATATAATATTTGATCTTCTGTTTATCCAGTAACTTGAAATGGGGGGTGGTGGCAAGAGAATGTTTTTCATTTCATCTGTTTTTTACCCCCAAGGTTCTAGTTTGTGGTTGTGTTATTTTTCTCTTGAGAATAAAAATCTTGTAGTTTTTTTTTTTTCCTTGGAAGAGTGTTTCATTGAAGAGTAGATTACTACTTAGAATTATGTTGCTGTTTCTTCTTGGTTCAGGAATTTCTTTGGCATATTCACCTTTATTTTTTTTCCCTGCGGAAGCACCTGAGGAGACAGTCCACTACCTGTTTTCTGCCTGCCACTGGTTGGGGTGGTTTTTCTCCTTGTCCTCTGAGGGTTACCAGTCTGCCTCTGAGCCATTGTCATATGCAGCAGGGAGCAGTGTGGCTCCAGAAGGACCATGGGCACTTGGTCTCTCCTCCTGCTTTCTGCTTGCCAGGGACTTGACAAGACAGGAAACTGCCCGGCACACCAGTGTCTGCCCATGCAAACTGTTTAAGAAAAAGTTCAACCCAGGTCTTATATCCTGTGATTTTGCAGTTAGTGAACTCAGAATTCATCAAAATATGACCCATTTTTGCACACTTGGATATGATACTATGGAGTGATTTCGAAGGATTTCTGGCTGACTTTTATTATCAGGGATATGGTCTAGTCAAACTTTTATCATTAGAAAATGTTTTCGTATATATTATAAGGTGGCACAGTAAGACAGTTTATTGAAAACAACAATCTTTGGTTGTGTAGCAAAATTGGCATGACTGCCGATGCTCCTTTATTTGAAGGCAAGGAAGAGATGCCTTGAGTAAGAGTTTGTATGTAATTGCTGTGCTGTGAGTTGCACGATTGCATGGGACCATGCTGAGCAGAAGTAAAGAACAAAGGAGCATTGAGGAGCTGGAAAGAGAACATTCAAGCTAAGACTAAGCCGGAAGATAACTTGGATCGATCACAAGTGTATTGGCAGTCTCCAAAATTGAATGAAAAACATCTGGCTTATAAGAAACATTAAAGAACGATAGTCTTAAGTAAAACTGGTGTTTTTAATATTTTTTTAGTGTAAACACCAATGCAAATGGCATGTTTTTCTATTTCATATTGGTTGTCTTTTCCTGTTTATATCTGGACTTGTTTTTACTCAGAGCCAGAGGAAAAGATTTTCAGACTTTGTCTCTACCATCCATGAAATTCATCCAATACCCAGGGCTTCTTTTGATCTGCTAATGTGATGTCACTTTATATTATGAAAACAACTTCTGGGTCTGTTTGCTATTATTCCGCTGCCTACACAAACAACCAGGTGAAAGGTAGAGCTTGTGTGAAAATTTGAAGAGGTTTTTCTAAACAATAAAGTAATACAGCGTGTTAGCCAAATCCATCAAAAAGGACTTCTGTTTTAAGAAGTAGACTTGAATTCTCAAAACAGTCTCTATATTGGTAGATCGTGAAAACCCTTCTGGAGCAAGTGGGGCCTGCCCCTGCTGGGTGACCGGGCCCCAGAACCGCTCTCTGGGGTGTTTGGTTGTTCGTTCCCAAGGATGATTAGCAGCTGCTGCACACCCTGCTGTGCACATGATGGCTGGGGATCTCAAAGGAAGATGAGGGGGAATTTGTGCCACCAAAATAGGTTGTACCGGTCTCCAAAATTTCTTGGCCTGCTGTGCTTTTAAGAATTGGTTTTGTTTCCAAATAACTTCTACATTTGTAAAGACAAAAAAAAATACTGTGTTTAGTCCTTATGTGACTGCTTAAACAGAAACAAAAACCCATTAGAACATATAATTTGGCTCTATAAAGTTCTCTGCGTAGTTGTCATAAATGCATATGTTGTGAAATGAGAGCATTGTTGAGCTTATACTCATTTAGTTCCCATGTGGAGCCATGAAAAATGCTTTTTATAGGCCAGGTGTATCATTACCCATGGTATCTCGTGCTTGTAATCTCAAGTGATAGCTATCTGGTTACATTCCATTTTAGGAAATTAAAATGCAAAATGTTAATGTTTATTATGTCCTTCCCCAGGAGAAATGGATTTAGATATGTCTTGTCTCAACAAGAAATTGATTCTTTTTAAACTATTTTATTTGGTTGTTAAATATCACAAAAGTAATGGGGAGTTTGGTCACATTGGGCTGTTGTGTTCTGAAAGAACCCAGTGGGGAATTTATGGGGTGATCTCAGAGGAAGGTTCCAAGAAGCGGAGCTGAACTTGTTACCCACCCTACATGTAGCCTCTTCCTCATGAGTTTTAGGAGCTTCTCTTTGCCTGCATCTATATTCTACATTCGCTATTTTGACAAAACATTATTGTGATTATTTGACTTTCTTTTTACTTCATCCTCCACTGTGAACAAGTAATATTAACATTCCTTTTGTGTATTCAATAATGCAGTTTGTTTACCTATTTTATTTCAACATATTTTGAACAAAGATCTTTGTCTCTTTCTGCTGGAATGTGCACACAGTGAATGTTTGTTAGAGCCACTCACAATAAAGATATTGTTTTCATTTTCTTGCCCTGACTACAGTTATTTAAAAAAAAAACCACCCCATGACAAACTTTTTTTTTAAAAGTAGAAGTGTTGATTTTGTAATCTTTAGGTGTCTTGGAAGAAAAGAATTTGAGGAGGATGAAAGTCACCTGTATCTTTGCTGATGCTGTGTCTACTGTAACGTGGTGGGGAGTTCTGCGGTTCAGGATTCTTGCTGCAGCTCTTCCTTTGAAGTGAGTTGCTCATTTGATAATCACGAGAGGTAAAAACCAAGACTTTTGCTGTATTGATGGGTATGAAGTGGTCACCGGGTAGACATGTCGGGAGTTCTGTTTTACTGAAATCATCTGCTAAAGAGAAGCCAGTACAAGGTAATAATATTTTGTTATCTGCAATGCCAGTCTTCACATGGTTGTTTTTCTTGGAAATAGCTAAACTGTTAGGGAAAATTAAGCACTCAGATTGAAGTTCTAGTGATTGTGTTAATAAAACAAGGGAAATAAACCATCTTTCTCATTATATTTAAAACCTCCTGATAGCCTTCTAACATTGCTAATGAGGCATGGTTCATGAGGGCCTCATTATGTCACTATCACATGAATTGAAGATTACTAACAGGAAAGGATAGTCCATTCGTGTTACCAGCATTTGAATCTAATGTGTGATCTTCAGCTGTAATAATTCATGTCTCTGCACTCTTCCTGATCCTGAGTATTCGGCAGGTGCTTGACAAATCCCAGCTGATTACTGAAAACCTGAGGTGGAGGAGTGTGATTCCAATTATATAAATTTAAAGGTGAAAAATACCGCAATGTACTAACTTTTTGGTAATTGCAGGTAACATTGCTAACCTAACTTTAATTAGCTAAATGGAAATCTATACTATGTATTTCAAGGCTCACTCAGCTTAAAATTATATATATATATTCCCCAGCATTTTAAAAACTTAATTCTTTTATGAAGCATTATGGAGAGGTGAGTTGCTTTCAGATGAAACATGAGGATGCAGTTGTAATACTATCATTTTTATGACACCTACTATGGGTCATGCAGTGTCTTCGATAGTTTACAAACATTTCTGCTTCTTCCACTATAGTATCCTTACATGGTAGATGGGGAAGAGGGGTAATTGAAATTTTACTTGACTTGCCCAAGGCCCCATGGCTAACAGGAGAGCTACAGTTTAAACTCAAGTCTAGCCCCAAAACTCAACTTCTACTGTTGGTGGTTCCAGATAAAAACTAAGGTTAAGCTGTGCCCGAATAAATATGTCCAGTAGGTCGTCTAATGGTTCCCATATTGATGTTCCTGTGTGTGATTAATAAAATGGAACCAATAAGGTAACTATTTTCTTAAATAGTAAATAACCAAAAAATAGTATCTTAGAGGTCTTGGTTGTCGAAGAGAATCCCATCGATTCAGTAGAAACAACTTACGTAAAACGGCCCTCACATCCCATGCAAAAGCTTCCTGAAACCCGTGAATGAGAATTTAGATTTGAACCCTGTTATTAGAAGCCACCTGATGAAAGGTCTCCTCTGTGGGATGAGTTGAGGACTGTTGAGGAAATCATTAAGCAGCACAGGTGAGAAGTCTGTGCATAACTTCACTCGCCCCATCACCCGTCCTGGGATCCTGGATTAAGATTTAACCCGAACCCAAATATGTATGTTGTCTTTAATGAGAAGTAATTGTTACTTGGTTCGCTTGACCTTGGGCTCTTCTGGACCAATCTCTGAATCATGTGAAAATCTGAGAAATGGAAATCTACTCTGAGCACATGGCATGAAATTTGGAAACTTGTCATTTCTGGCTTTCAAAATTGTTATAATGTATCACGAAAAGATGATTCAGGTTCATTGGAGAAAACATAACATAATGAAAATACAAATGCCATTTGTTACCAGTGTGGCAAATGGCATTTTTGATCCCTCAGTGCCAGTCTCAAAGCAGTTTCCTATTGTTTCCTCCTGCTCCTAATCTCTGTGACTGAAACAATGTTAACTTCAGAACCACATGGACTTGGCAAATGAAAGAGAGAGAGAAAAAAAACAACCCAGGTGCTTGAATTCCATTTTTCCTTCAAAAAGCTTACTTTGGGGATTTTTTTTTTTCTAGTTTCCTCATCTAAGTTTTTCAGAACTGGGTGTGGCATTACCTTACAGAACAATAGGATGATGTCCAGAATAGAAGCAAGTCTCTTAAATCTGCCCACTTTGATTTAATTACCCAAGAAATCTAATCAGAAGCAGATACAGAAGTTGGGAGAAGCTACCCCGTGAGCAGCACAGGAAACCGAGCTTTCCAAGACTCCCAATCTGACCTTTTCCTCTGCATGCTTTTAAAAATGTTTTGGATTCTTTCCCTTACCTCCCATCCTAACCTGTGTTGTCCCCTTTGTTTTATGTTTTACCTTGAACTACTTGGCCTTATGTTTTAATAAACGACAAGGGAGCACCTCAGCTATGCCCCTCTTCATTTTTAAGCATTATGGTACAAAAATGCACCTGATAGTCTCTTAGAGAACATGTGGAAGAAATAAGCCTGATTTGTTTATAATTTGGACCATTGATATAAACTAGTGCAGTTCCATTTGAACATTGCTATTGACCTTCATTTAAGGCTAAATTCTGAGTCTGGACCTTTCATGTGTGAGTCATTCTGCTTTTTGTGTAAAGCAATTCAAACCGAGGGTCTGAGACATATTTTGATGACTGTGGCCTCTGCAATTTATCTGACCTGACAGTGCCTGCCTTGGTAATGTCTTTGTATGGGTTCCGCTGCTCCAAGTTTGCCTACGCAGGGACTCGTTTCTATTTTGTCAAGTCTAGGTGTCTTTGGAAAGGAGAAATATTCCTCACCTGAAAAAAGATAGACACTCGGATTAGTTATTGTTACAGAATAAGACACAGCACCAGTTTAAAGGTTTAAACCCAAGGCAGATGCTATAGTCACAAATTTTTGTGTGTTTTATTTAAATGTCTTCATTAATGGATTATATGCCCTCTGAAGGAAGGGTCCTCTGTATCTTTCAGGGTGGCATTATGTGGGGCCATGGGGAGGGCTGAGTGATTCGGGATGGTTCAAAGCTCCGTCTGAACCAGAGCTGGATCTGTTGAATAACTACCATCTAGGACTCCCAAGTAGAGTTTGAGATGAATCCCAATGTTACCCACATCGCTAGCACCCAAAAACTCCATTCACTCCTTCATACCTACAAACCCATCCTGTTTTCTCTGTAAATAGATTCAGTTGCCAGCATTCATGGGTTTCATAAAAATATTTAAAATTATTTTTCAGAACGGTTTTAAATTTACAGAAAAGTTGTGAAGACAGTCCAGAATTTCTATAAACTTAGCAGCCTGTTTCCCCGTTAACATCTTAGTGTTGGTACCCGTCACCGTTAATGAACCAATATCAACGCATTATTCGAGTCCAAAAAAATTAAGTTCGTACGTGATTTCTATTTCCTCAGTTTTTACCTAATGTCTTTTTTTCTTTTCCTGTTACATTTAGTCGTGTTTTCTGAGGCTCCTCTTGACTGTGACTGTTTTCTGGGCTTTCGTTTTTGATGGCCCGTACAGTGTTGAGGAGTGTTGGTCAGGTACATAGTAGGATGCCCTCTACTGGGATTATTGGTGGTTTTCTTATAATCAGACTGAGTTACAGGTTTGGGGGAGGAGGGAGGTTACACAAGACAAAATGCCATTTTTATCACATACCACCAGCATGTGCTGTCAGTATGCTTTATGACCATTGATGTTGACCTTGATAACTGGGCTGAGGTAGTGTTTATTAGGCTTCTCTACTAGAAAGTTATCCTTCCAAAGGAACTTTCCATACTGTTCTAAATTGGAAGGAAGTCAATACAGGCAGCCCAGCTCGACATCCTCGAGGGTGGAGTATCTGCACAGATTATTTGGAATTCTGCATAAGATATTGGCTCATAGAATTTCATACTTGATTAGCATTTAAATTTTTTTACTCTCCTAAAAATAACAGTACAGGTGTTCTGCTTGAACGTAGCAGTGTGAACAAACTTGTTTATCTCTGCTCCCTTCCAAAAGCCACACAAATGATGAGAGTAAAGAATAAACAAAGATAAAAAGACAAAAACACATGAGAGGGAGTACACCCCAGTTCTTGAAAGATCTCAAATTTTTGGAAGATTTAAAGCCAGTAAACATAGAAGAGTATATAAAATGTAAATGCCTACAGGAGGAAAGGCTAACAAGAAAGAGGACATACCACAGATCCCTCTTAGGGTAGAGATTAGATAGCAGCCTCTGAAACAAGTCAAACTCGCCTCCCCACATTCAGCCCACCTCCATTGCTAACCTGAGCCTGCACAGCTATGCAGCTGCCCCTCTCCGGCTCTGACAGAAATTAGAGCTTTAGTCCTGGGAAAAGCTACATCTGAGAGGATCTTCACTTGAGATGACCAGGCAAAACTGAAGGCAGTGGTGGGTATGGAGCTGAGCGTGGGGATTAAGTGGAAATTTATAGTAATTGCTGACACCCTCCCATTCCTACCCCAGAACCCCAACAGCCAAGATTATAGCCCCAAGCAGGGAATAGGAAGATTCCTCTCTGGGGAAAGTCACCAGCCTAAGAGAAAGATCTGCAGATACTGACATTTGACAGCTTCCACATGGTCACCCTGCAGTGAAGTCCTTCAACAAGCTATGCAGATGCAAAGCATCCAAAATGGCTTTTAGTGAACTAGGACTAGTGACCATTTTCTGAAAAGCCTTCACATGAAAGATAGTGACCAAAACAAACAGGAAAAAAGAAGTCAGAGGAAGACAATGTAGAAGAAATGAAAAACAAAACCAAACCAAAACCCCTGATAACTTCTGAGAGATGATAACTGTATCCATGAATACAATGAAGATAGTATTTAAAAAGAAACACTTAGAGAATAAAAGATTCTAGATACTACAAATTTGAGGCTACCAATGAATGCTAAAATTAGTGGGCAAAACGCTTAAGAAATAGGATGTTTACATAGCCTCA